TTCTCTTTGTTTAAGCACAGACTAATACCCCAGTCCTGTATAATTCCAAAGGCTTTTTTCTTGTTTTCTTCCCCTTTCGAAAAAACCCCCCCCCCCTTTGATCTTTTCTCCCCCCCCCCCCCCCCCCTCTGACACTACTAGATTGAATGTCTTTGTAAATATCAGAAAAGATACCAAATAAAAGCATACCTTCCATGTATTATGCACTATGCGCAGTTTTAGTAACAAAATGTTTTCGGACTTATTTCTTGCAAAACGCATAACTAAAAGTGTAAGTGAATTAAATCACTGAATACTTAATGCGAGCTTTGTGCTATTTTTTTGATCTACTACAAGCAGTGTTTCACACAAGACGAAACATTGCGATTTTCCATTTACTCAGTTGAATGCTCCTTATTTAAATATGGCCCTTTAGAATTTCGAAAGCCATAAGGTAATCATTGGCAGAGTAGTACAGTTACGTTTATTATCTTGACTATTCGATTGTGTTGCAGCAATGAGTGAACATGATCGTAATCGAAACTGAAGTTTGTTTCCAATCACCTGTGAAAGTCTAGAGAGTTACTGTTAGAAAATCAGAACTTACTGAATTTTTCACAGTTTCGTGGAATAAATCCCTCCCCATAATAGAAGCCCCCGCGGGGGCTTCTAAATTGTTCACCATCCAAAACTTTCGGAGGGGGCTTCTATTAAGTCCTAAAATTTTTCAATAGTTTAAGATGGAAAATTCTGTGTATTTATGGAAAATAACTTTGAAAATAATAATAACGATTTTACAGAAGTCTATAAAATTGTTGTTTAAATTTGATAGAAAGAAACAGAAATTTCTTTTTTCAAATTTTTCTTATTATTTTATTTCATATTGACCTTTCGCAGTATAAATCTTCATTACCAAGATATATAAGATGAGATTGTTACAAAAATAGACAATTTTACATAGAACAAAGTAAAAACAAAGGAAAGGAAGAGATACATTTATTTGTCTCTTTTCATATTTTATAGAGGTATTTATAATTCATTTCTATTCGTTATAAACGTCTCTCTTTCTTCTCTTTTGTCTTGTAGACCTCAAACAGACTAGACGAATTAAAGTGATTCAAAACTGAATTAGCGAATGAATTGTCTCAAAAAGACGATTTAAATTGGAATAGACCAATCACACTGCTTAATTTATTTTATTTTTTTCAGTCTGCTTGGTGCCGTACATACTACACGACGAGGAATTAATTCAAATTAAGTTCGTGTAGTGTGTACAAGACAAAAGAGAAGAAAGAGAGACGTTCATAAATAATAGAAATGAATTATAAATACCTCTATAAAATATGAAAAGAGACAAATAAATGTATCTCTTCCTTCCCTTTGTTTTTATTTTGTTCTATGTAAAATTTTCTACTTTTTTGTAACAATCTCATCTTATATATCTCGGCAATGAAGATTCATACTTCGAAAGGTCAATATGAAATAAAATAAAACAAAATATTTGAAAAAAAGAAATTTTTGCTTCTTTCTATCAAATTTAAATAATAATGTTATATACTCCTGTTAAATCATTATTATTGTTATTAGATGGAAAAAATTTCAAAGAATTTTAGGGATTTTCAGGGTTTTTAAGGGTTGTTCAAATGACTTTCTAGGAGATTTCAAGATTTTTATGTTGGTAGATAAGAAAATCAAACAAATTATTACCGTCAGATCTTAAATTCTGAAAGTTTTATGATGAAAATTCCAATAAAAATTTTCAAAATGTTTTTAAAATGAGGGGGGCTTCTAATACATCTTTCACATTGATCCTTCTGGAGGGGGCTTCTAATATGGGAGGGGTTTCTATTATAGGGAGGGGTTTACAGTTTTTAGATTCTTTTATAACGACTATTTCTTCAACATCAACGTTAGAAACGCTCACAATTATAGATGCAAAAAAAGTCCATGTTCTTCGTACAACATAGAGAACGAAATCTCATACGTAACATCAATAGTGTACAACATTTTCTGCAAAATCATATACCGAAATTGTTCGTTTGAATAATTCTCCTCTGCTATTTGTTTCATCTGTACAGCATTTTGGTGCTTCGCATTTGAGTGCGAATTCATTTCTGTCTTGTTCAACTCACATCTAATTAGATAGTGATAGCTTATCGTTATTTCTTACGATAGTCATTGCAATCATGGCGAAAATCTTCTTAAGGGATAGACAACTCTTCTTTAAGAATAGGTATTTGTTTATGCTGCCGATTTCTAACTTCTTTTATTGATCACTAATTGTGTTCTCGAAGACAGACAATAGATGCTCGACAACACTGCTTGATATTGATATTACGAGAATATCAGCTGCCATTATTGCGCTGCTATGGTTAGTAACAGTGTAGTATGTGCCGATCCCAAAAACAAAAAATATACTCAACTTGTTTTTGTCATAGATCACGAAAGTCAATTGCATTCTGAAATCGAACACGCGCTTGTTATCATTTATATTAATTTCTTATAATATCATTAGAAAAGAAGGCTGTTTCGCTTTAGTTTCGACTGGTTGTTGGTACTACCATTAGGCAGGGGAATAAATGGCGTAATAAAAATAGCACATGATGAGTTCGAAGTAGCTCTTGACTGAGACGAAATTTTGGCAGTTGTAGTCAGCGTTTTCCAAATCATTTTTAGCTCAAGAATCTTAACAGCGTTCTCTTTTCCAACCGAATCAATATTAGACGGATGAAACAGAGCATGAAAAATCATCAAAAAAAAATGTTAATTATGAGACATCAATTTAATAATTAATAGATCCTCTAAAAAAACAACATTTAAATTCCAATTTTTTTGTTGCTGTACAAAGAGATATTTGTTTATGTATTTGTTGACTTCTAGTAAGCCTATCCTATTGTTATCATGTAGATGGCACTGAACAATAAGCAAGTGGCATCGTGAAATAACTCTTGAGATTGAAATTTTTCACAGCAATGAGAGCCTTTATGATATCACTGAAAGGCTTCAAAAAATCTACATATTTGATGAAAAAAACCATTCATAAGTTAGGCTGCACTTGATAATATACGTACCAAAAAGTATTAGTGAAAACTAGTCAAAAACAGCATGGAATATGTTCAATATGTGAGATGCACCGTTACATCCTATAGGATATGTGCTTTGAAGGTACTTCACAAGACTTTTCAATTACGCGAACAGTATCTGTACTTCGATTATTTTAAAGTTTTCATTTTCGTCAAATATATGCTTGAGCATTTTGTTTAGGAACTCAAGTCTACGATATCTCATCAGATCCAATTGAACCAGAATGCTTCTAGTGAGATCTTGTTGGCAGTTGTCGAAATTCCAGATTGAACATTAGAACAGAAGCCGGTCGGGTTTCATCGTGCTCTTGCAGCCTTCAACGAAATCCAATAGAATCGTGTCAAATTTTCACCCGAATGCTGGGGTAGGATTACTAGTTCAGGCTAGTGAATTCTGCATTCCATATGTTGTATATCCTTAAAATACACTAATTTGTTTGTCTCATTGTTCGACATGACGAGTGACGTCAGTTAGACTGTAAGAGAATATTGAAGAAGTAGAAAATCGACAAACTTTCGTATTCAATGCTGTTTCAAACTCAACCTTGTAATAAAATATTATAGTATCAACTTGAGAAAGAAAACAAATTCCTTTATAGACAAATGAAAATGAGAAGTGCAGTATGAGACGAGTACATAAGTTGTTTTTATTTTAATGTTAATTTTAATAAGAAAGATTTTTATATAAATATGTAGAATTTTCGATCTATTTTCAGTTGGAGACTAGCTGGCAAAACGATCATTATCAATACTTTAAATGTTAAATCATAATCTAATTATTAATATCATAAACATAACCAATAGGGTGGGTGTGGGTGTGGGGTGTGGGTTTGAACATGTATTATTGGTTATGTTTATGATATTAATAATTAGATTATGATTTAACATTTAAAGTATTGATAATGATCGTTTTGCCAGCTAGTCTCCAACTGAAAACAGATCGAAAATTCTAC